TTTTATTTCGAGGCATGAATGACTAAATTTTCTTTAAATTTACAACATTGTCACGTACACTAATTCCTGTGATTTGTGGAAGTGATTGCAGTCTCTAAGGCCTTATGTCAGTTAGTGTCCATTGTTCATTTTAGCAGTATATTTTCGTTATTTTTCAATTTTCCGGGCATAGAAATTCAGTCTGATAAAATAATTTATTGATTAGGAAATGAGGCTAACTAATTGGTTACAGGCGAGGGCAGCCCTGGCTTGAGCCAGTTCCAGGACAAAGAAGCCTTGGCCGAGGTGCCGCATTGGGGGCAACTAGATTTAGCAAACAAACAGAAATAAGAAAAAACACACACGGATCAGCTGAGCTAAGCATGCTCTATCCTAGCCATGTCCACAGGCCAAACCCCAATTTTGTAGGACTTGAACTGAGCTGGGCGGCCCATTGCAAACCTTAAGGCTGGAAACCAGGTTCATATTGCAATGAGCTGATCCGAGGAAGTCGCGGCCACCCCAAATCAGTGGATTAGAGAGAGAGAGAGAGAGATAGTAGGGCTGGCAATGGGTTGTGCCAGGTAAAATTTTTAAAAAATAAAGCAAAAGATATGAAAAAATAAGGCCAGGCCGAAACTGTCTTGGCCTAGCCCAAACCTGGCCACCAGGCCACAGTTTGTGGCCCAAGCCCTAATTTCTTACAGCCAGGCTGATCAAGTCAGGCCGGGCCACCCGGACCATTACCACTCCATCGAGAGAGAGAGAGCATAATTCCCCTAAAAATGGATTATTTCAGTTCTCTCTCCAGGAATGTTAAAAATATTTATATGCTAATTAAAGTTACCCAAAATTCCCGACATAAATAAATGCGATGTGTTTATGTTGTGAAGGGACAACCACATCAAGGTTCGGTTCCTTCGAGCCACACATTTGTTGTGCTACTAATCACCAATCCTACTTAAAATAACAATAATCAAGTTTCATTAATGAGAATTACTTGATGTGGGCCTTGGGATTGGGTGTGGTGCTTTGGCCCTAAAGATAAGCTAAAGGGGGACATAGAGAGAGAAAGAGAAACATCTTTTCAAAACAAGAGAGAGAAATTACTGTTTGAGATAAGTGTGATGGTGGGTCCACTCTATTTTTCTTCTTTAAATTTTTTTCATCTTAAAATTTATTTACTTAGATTCTTTGTAGGTGCATTTTTATCAATGGCTGTGGGTTGGGAGACATCCATTAAATGGGGCTGTGGACCAGTGATTCATGTGTCCCCCTCCATAACTATTCTTATCTTGACACCGACACGGCTTTGGGTTTGTTTTATATTAATGGTTTTTATTTATTTATCCACCTTTTGTGAGTCTCAAAGTACCATGGCTGTTGCTTTAGCCATGCTTATCTTGCCTTTAATGGAAAGAACAAAAATTCCACTCAACCGGTAAAAGTATCTCTAAGGACTTGCCTATTTCTTTTTTATTAATGACATAATTACCTCTTGAGCATTTGGGGTATTTTCTTCTCTTTTTTTTTCGAAGAACTAATTCGGAGTGTTCTTCCATTTGAAATCTATTATTCTACTAGACCCAAAAAGTGATTGAAAATTGGGAATAAGTGGCCGAATCGGCCACCTTTCAGTCAGCTCGAGAATTCGGAGCAAGCTACCTTGGAACACTGGTAATAAAAATTGCGAAACAACTTTATCTTGTAGGTCTTTCAAAACAGAGAGAAAAGTGCATATTTGGGGCTCGAATGGCTCGAATGAGTCATTGCCGCTTTAGGTCATAGTGGTAGCACCCCATACTTAGTTAATACATTGTGGTTTTCAATACTATTGATACCATTTACTGATACTTTCAAAAAAAACATAATTACCCAATCTATATAAAAAAAATGAGAAAGACAGACCCCACTAAATTAAATTACTCAAAATAAAAAGGTGGAGTTTTGGTATTTTTTAGTAAAAAAATGATTTAGGAATTTTAAGAAATTGTGTGCGACTCCACAATTGCCAAAGTCCAACTAAAAAATCACCATGTTCACTATAGTGAAAGGGCCGAGTCAAAATCACCATGTTCACTATAGTGAAAGGGCCGAGTCCACGGTTCGTGAGCCCCAAAAAACCGCAAATCTGTTCTACTCGAGCGATTTGGAGTCGAATCAACAATTTTTAAATCACTGGATCCTAAGTATCAAGTATTGTGACCCCTATAGGTTGACCATCTATATTGCAGGCGAGGAGGTCAAGTACAACACTATGGGCTTTGAGTTCAAACGAATTTTGTCCTCCTCAACTTTTCACATTAATATAAAATGACAGGATCATGAAAGGAGTGTGGGTCCCACAAATGCGGTTAGTCAGGTACAAAGATGGCGTGGGATTATTCGAGTTGGATGCCTTGTGCCGGCAGGGAGCAATAATTCTAGGAATATGAAAGGGAGGTATAACAATAAGATTAATTAATATGATTAAGCATTAAAGTAGGGTTTAGATTTATAA